AAATGCAGAAATGGCGGAAATGCATTACGTATATGGCCTTGCCGACGGTAATAGTGAGCAAGCCAGACGGATTTATCACCAGAGATATCCCGATCGTGCTTTGCCAGATAGTCGAACCTATTCTAATATTCATCGTCGTCTTGTTGAAACTGGTTCTGCCCGAAAAGGAACATCTGAAGGTAGACCTCGTAAGTGTGAGAACACCTGAAATTGAGGAAGCAGTGCTGCACGAAGTCGAAGAACATCCTGAATCGAGTACGAGGAAGATCGCTAGACACTTAAATATTTGCCATCAAATTATTTATAGAATTTTAGTGGATTTTTTGTTATATCCTTACCATATTTTAAGTGTATAGGCATTACTTCCCATTGATTTTCCAAGGCCTGTGACCTTTTGTCAGTGGTATCTTCAAAAAATTACACAAAATCCGCAATTTGAATCAATGATTCTGTTCATGGACGAAGCTAATTTTTGTGATAGAATAAAAAACACTCCAGGGGTATTTCAACGAGTGCGCAATTCCATGAGAAGAAGGGCATGCATACTAAGTGAAGGGGGTCATTTTCAATAGTTTTTGCAATCATTTCGTTGGTTTTAATGTTGTATTTATGTTGTCAGTTGTTGTTGCTTATTACCCGTAATGTGTTTAATTTTTCCAATTAAATTAATAATTTTGCAAGTTAGACAATAGAAATGTTTTTATTTTTTTACTCAAAAATGGCGCATCAAAGGAAAGCAACTCAAGACAGATCATTTATTTTAAATTGAACGGGGAATTCAAAAATAGTTTTTATTTGCCCAAAAACCATTGGCGTACCATTTTTTTCTTGAAAAATATCGAAGTGAATACCCGTACGCACGCCACTGTTAAAACTAAAAATTATTTTTGCATTGACAAATATGCAACTTTATTAACTTCAACTATGCACTAAATATCAGTGAAATATCTGAAGCTGTTCTGAAAATATTAATTAGTTTCCACTTTTTTCTTACAACCTCAACACCCCGAGTTTTTGTAAGGAAACATTTTTGGACCATAGTTTATAAAGCAAACTATCATTAATTTTTCATGTAGATTCACACCCTTAAATATTCGCATATCATTAAGGAACACCCTGTATATATATATACAGATTCCGATAGTTAGGTCCTCCACTCATTGGCTTTTTAGAGTCGATAGGTCCTCCGTTGCTCTAGGTCCTGTATATGGAGGACCTATCGCAAATTCCACCAGTCGGCCTGAAAGGCTCCCCTTTGTCACCCGGCAAAATTCCAGAGGGATGACCCAGATCGTGTTTTTTGCTAAATTTGGGTACCGTAGTTCCGGGCTTTGCCGCGCCGATTTGGTGGACTCACAGTCGCGCGGGTATTCAGCCCGTATATTTTCAATCAAGTCTACAGTGGATAGGTCATCTGCCGGGTATTCAGTATCTAGATTGTCGCTTTTAGGTCCTCCTTAATATTGGCATCGCTGTATTAGGCATTTATTAGAATTGTTTTGCAAGAGGATTGGATTTTCATCTTCCTATGTCTGCTACGGCCCAGTTCGCCGTCAAGTATTACACACTAGCGGCCGTGAGCGGGAGTGCCGTAATGCAGCGATGGTATTTGTTCGAATGTAATGATCAAATCCAATATTCTATGGAATAAAATGAAAGATGTTATTTTTGTTTTGCGATTTAAGACAGATGATGCCTTTACTTACCGCGCCTATTGACAGGAATTATTGTAATCAAAAAAAATCTGCTTTAGGTTGCTGTTATGCCATGCACAAAGAGCCTTGAATATTCTCGGAAATCGGTGAAGTGGACAACAAACGAAGAAAAAATGGTCAAACCTCGTTTCCGAATGTTTCAGACATTCCTCCAAGAAAATTTTAGGGCTGTGAATTTTGGTGGCGGGGGTTACGGGCAGCGGAGCTAGTATTAAACAACGACAAAACTAAAAATCGTTAAAATTTCTGAATATTTTAGAGCTCCCTAATCGTTTTTCGAATAATTTTTGGGGGTAGGGTGTAACGCTTCCTTTCCGCAAAAAGTCCAGAAAAGATGGAATGCAATGCAGATTCCAACTTTTCTGCACAATCACAGAAAGGGGGTTACCATTAGCTTCCGGTAGCTCAGTCGGTGGCATGAAGACATCTACAGGCGTGTAGCTGTGTGTCGACCATGGCATGGCTAGAGGATAGAAGAACAAACAGAACACAAAAATTTAACAGATTTTATTTAACAAAAAAAAAAAGGCATTTTCATTACATTACAATTTTACAGTTTTAAAGAACAAAATAAGTTTTACATCTTTGGCGCTGCTATAAAACTATCAACTTATCTTTCGCTGGTCCATTTTGACTCGACTGAAGCCAGGATGGCCAGGTGCTTGAAGTGGAGGTCCCAGTTGTGAGGGGTGACCTCACATATAGTGGCTTCATAACCAGTTGTAGGCGAAGTTGAACTTAAAGGCGATGGCGCTGCCAAGGCACATGCATGGGTGAAGTGATAGGCCAAGCAACGCAAAGTCAAAGACTAAGGCAAAGGGAAAGGGAAAGAGAAAGAGGGTGGCCCCAATCTGAAAAAGAACCGTGTGCATTAGCAACGTGCCCTAATGGCCAAGGCATTTCCAATCTCTGTCTGCCTCAAAAGAAAACCAACGATTTTCTAGGTTAGAATTACATTACATAGTTTGATAAAATCAAACCGAAAATTGGAAATGCCTTTCATAAAATAAAATCATGAAATAGCAAAAAAAAAAGCGTAAAACAAGATGGTGGTCATTAAAAATTTCTCCACATGCTTCTGATATAAAAACACAAATATCGAATATTCATAATCAACGTACTTATAATTTCTCTGAACTATGAATATATATACGCACACAGAGGTTAAATCGATGTGGATCGATTTCCACCTTGATTTGATTGAAGTTATGGCGAATGATCGAAGTAGTCGAAAATGACGTTCGATGGATATTTTAAAATCGTACAAGAAATAAACCACTTACATATCGATTATCTATAAACTACAGGCAGATCCAGCAATAAAACTGTATAGTATTATAAAACTCACCATTTTGTCCTATACGGACACACATTCTACAAAATTCTAGCACATGGTGCTATATGACCTTGTGCTACAGAGAAGAAAATTTTTAGCTCTTGTTCGATCGGCAGCTCAAGTGAAAAGGAAGCGCGAGGAAGATCGCAGATCAGGAACTCCGCATCAAGCGGTCCAAGCGGAAAATTTTCCAAGTAAAAAAGCTAGAGATGGGATTAATGAAATGATAATCGAGAAGTGATTTAATAAATACGATCGGACGGTGAAACCGTTACAAGGGGGCTGAGGGAATGGGGTGAATCTCGATTTGGCTAGGTGTTAGTTATTATCAATAAACCTTCAGATCGACTTCCTGAACATTAAATACCCCGCTTCAGAGGTAGTTCTTCTCGGTGATTTCAATGCCCATAATGAGCTTTGGTTGGGCTCAAACAAGACCGATGCAGCAGGTCGTGCAGTCGAAGCGTTCGCTCTTACTCAAGGGCTGACCCAGCTAGTGCCGAGCCCTACTTTTTTCCCCCGCGTCTCGTCACACGCCAGTAGCCTGCTGGATCTCTTTCTGACCACGCATCCTGTTCCTTACAGCACTGCTGTTCTGTCCCAACTGGGTAATTCAGAGCACGGTGTTGTGGAGGTTAGGTTTCGGTCACAACCCGCTGTGGCAGCAGAAACTCGTACAAGCCGCAAAACTTGGCATTACGGACATGCCGACTGGGAGGGGCTCATAGACTTCTTCTCTAACTTTCCTTGGAGAGATGTCACTGACGCGGATGCATCGGCTGTCTGTTCTTCGATAACAGAAATTATACACGTCGGAATGGAGGAATACATCCCTCACTCAGTGAAAATGCCTAAACCAGGGTCGAACGGCTGTGAACAAACTGTTTAAATTTTGTTTTTCCAGTAATCTCATCAATACTTGTCCAAAGCCGTCTAGGATCTTTCAAGTTATTATCCAATTTATTAAAGTAATGTTTTCGTTTTGTTTGCATTGCAAGCTCTATAAATTTGTATGCTCTAATATATAAGGAAAATCGTAATAGGCCATTGGGTTCTGAGGAGGAACTCACGTCCCAATGCCCACCCCCACTGAATACGCCAAATACATATTAAACTACACAAACTATTCGAGAGGTCAATTATTTAAACATACTGTCTCCAAATTTTATTATCTCACTTCGAATAATACACAATTGATTTATGAATAGCGATGTCGTAATGTGATGCACGGAATGGAATTTTCATATATGAAAGGCACCACCACTGTCGATACATCCGCTTCAAGTATTTACATACCTTTATCCACTCAATCGATAATGGTATACATGACAAGATAAATACTGTAACACGTCAATATGGTCTCAATTTTATACAATGTCTATGTTCACGGTTGAAATCGTTACATGCAATTTCTATAATATTGATTGTTCAACAGTACATTTTCTAGTGAAATGACTGCGTAGCTCCACAAAAAAATTCGTCTAAGACATTAGTACAGAAAATGCTATCAAACTACTCAGAATGACTCATTCAAATTATTCATCTTACCTCAGTAATTGCATATTTGCCTTCTTCTCCTCAGCCAAATAATATTTTGTGTAAACCATCAACATTCATTCAGTTGCTCCGCTAGTGGAAAACGATGGGAAAACCACAGGAAAACTTCAGAAACTGTGTACATAACCATAACTGATGACGGGATGATACTGATAACTCGATCATAATGGCAGCTATCATGAATACCAACATCAAACTAGGCAAAATTTATTAGCTACCAACAGTGATTAACAAACACACCAGTAAAAGTCTCAACATTGAAATTTGATGATGTCATTGTTCTGGCGACTCTCAGCGGTCGCTAGCCAAATGGAATCAAGTCACTGTTTAATACCACTAAAAGATGGAGATAAACAATAATTCAATAAAGACTAGTCACTTCATTTTTGCAGAAAACTGAAAATATACGAGGAACAAGAATTAACGATGCAAGTATTCAATGAACCAGAACAGACCATGTTGAATAGAAGGGACAGCGACGATTACATTCCCGTAAGTATATATAATAGTGTAGTATGTACATAACGCACGTACAATTATATAAGGACAACAATGTGAATATCACGTAAATGGCACAGCGGAATGGGTTTTACTTCTGATATTAATAGTAAAAGATTATTCATCTATTAATGTTTATGCAAAATTGTTCAACTGAAGCTTGTGATTATTTTTATCAGTACCGCACACAATCCTTCGTTATTTGTAGGTTTATTCCTTACTTTATTTGAGTTTCATACGTAAATATGCACGTTACTCGTATAATTTCCAGGGCGACAATACTTATGCAACAATACAGCATCCCCACAGGCGAGGTTCCTCGCATATGGCAACAATTTCATTAGCAGGAGACCTGGCAGATTATGCCACTTTGTCAGGCGTGCCTCATCACCAGAGTAGGAGCAACAGCAGCTCTCTAAGAGGAGCGCCAAATGTAAGTATTACCAGTAAAAACATTAAACAATTATAGTAGCAACACATTCTAATTTCGGTAATTGCTATAGAAAATATAATTGTTGAAGATATTGGTTGCTTTTTGTCTCTGTGATCAACCAGGTACTACACCTCAGTTTGCTTTCCGTTATTTATCTCCAAGACGTATACTTCTGATTATTGTCAATAAAAGCATGAAACAACAAACACCAATGACGGAAAGCAAATACCTTAAGCCATGTGATCAATTTGTTGTACAAATTTGCAGAGCAAAACACAGGAGATGGCTTGTAACTTTATTCCAAAAATATCTTTACACTATTGCATCATATCTAGGAAGAATTTTAAAAAGTAAGAGTGTCTATAATCTACGAACGAAGACTCGGAGGTATGATGTTAAACTCTCAGAGTGGTAGTGATGCCAAAAAGTGTCGATGACGAAGATTATGTTATCTCATAAGAATACTACTCAGGCAATGAATTTCAGATTCTGCGCATATGGCATCTCTCTCTCTGTTGCTGTTATCATGATTGTAAACCACGAAGTAGACTCCCTACGCCATTTACTACGTGTACTAGATTTCCGAGAGCCACGTCCACGCACGTGTATCACTCACGCAGGATCTTCGTGAATCTACAAAAAAGGCACTGTTGATAACGCAAGATAATTGGTGTCATAGTTTAATGACGAGTAGTCAGTGATGTGACAATAGCTTTTCTGGTTCGGGCAACTCTAAGTCAGCCAGTCAGGCTACACAGGACTTTTATAGGTATTCTCGACGTAAGGTTCTGAATGTATCAGATTTGGCACACTCGCGTAGCAGTAGTAACTTTCTTGTAACAAATATTTATTGATACATCCTATGTTATATAATTTTGGAAGTCAACGTGATGAGGGAATAGGTATTAGTTTCCCGTCCACCTAAATTAGAGGGAAAACAATACTAAGGTTGGAAAAACTAATTCTTAGACATTTTTCAGAAAATGTAATGTTTTCAAGTTTTACTTAAAATTTCTCAAAACTACAACTTTTAAGATCCTACATAATACTTAAAATGAGTAGATCCTGTTTTGCTGTTTTCTGAGTCAAATCAGTTTCATTAGTTCGAAAATCAAGAAAGCGATGCATTGGAAAGGTGTCTTGCATATTTTATGTGTTTCTTGAAAATACTTTGTATGTATAAAATATATCAAAAAAGGTGTATCTAAAACATTGCTTCTTTAACAATGTATCGGCTTCAGGACAGGTAAAAACTCGATAATCTCCCTTTTTGTTCGAGTATTATTTTTGAATACTGATCAAACGAATAATGTCCTCGGGAATGTGTAGAGCTGTTCTTCTTCTTTTGATTGAATAATTTTGAGCTATGGTGTATGTGTAGTATTTAAAGGTTTGAATGCTCTTTGCTCTTGTCAAAATAATGGCGTCAGGTAGGTTCCCTATACAATTCCCATGCAACGCCATCAGTTCATAAACGATTAGGTTCAGCACAAGTTAGGCCCTATCGAAATAAGACAGCGCCATAGAACTTATATTCTGGATAGAGGATAGTTAACATTCTTTTGTTCGTTGTCCTAGAGGCCAAACCTAGGCCATGCTGATGAATTGCCAAAAAAGCACGAATCAGCTTTCTGTCGTTGACTGTCTCGGGTTGGATGGACCAAAGCAGCATGTTCAAGTTAGAAAATTAGTTACGAACTGTAGGCGTGAAATGTAACAGTATCAAAACTTTCAATTAAGACTGAAATTGAGAAAAATATTTCCAGTGAACCGTTGAGTTGAAGGAGTGGATAATAATTTGATGATCTGCAGTACAAGCCAAAAATCTGAAACATCGGATTTTCGAAACGTAAATAAGACGATTTGAGGGATAAATTTCTTATTGGCGCGAACAAAATACTCAAAAACAGAAAAAAGCATGTGTTTTTGATAATATTGTTGTGATAAATAATATGTTCTGGAAAAATAGAACAGTAATTTTTTTCAAATGCGACCATATGTCAATCTCTGAATTTTTGCTACTATCGAAATTAATGTACATATTGTTGATATTTTTAGTACTACGAGGCAGCCATGGGCTTCCAAGGATCCACCTTCCAAGTGCCGGACCGTCGATTGAGCGGTTCTAACGAGTACGACCCATACAGCGGTGGCGGTAGCACCGGAACTGCCGGTGCTAGATTCAAGGGTTCAGAACTCACTATTAATCCCGAGGGACATCCCGAATATATCGCTGAACTTATTTAGAGATAAACAATAATTTATTTACATTATAGAGAAGAGAGAATAGTAAATAATTGAGAAGTATAAAAGGTGCCCCAGAATAACATGCCAATCTTTCGTATGCATATGGAATACAAAAATATGCCACAAGTGATTTAAGAAAATGTGCTACGCGGCTCGCTTATAGAGTTATAATCCCATCAAGGACGTTCCTAGAAATAGAATGACAGTCTAGAATCCAACCTAATTTTACAACTTGAAGGCCGCCTGTCACAATACAAACTGTTGTTCATACTTTGGTATCAAATTTCGTGAAAAAATTCGTTCCCAATTTGTTTACAAACTACAATCCTGTCTCTGACACGTAATGAAATTTTGTACTAACTTTCGTACGAAATCATGCGCAGTTGATAGAAAAAAGTTATAACTGTCAACTTCTAACTGCCATTTATCACGTCAAAGTCAATCTAACCACAATTTACTTTGCGGCTTGCTATAGCCTTTTTCGCGAGTATCCATTACGGTAGAATGGCAGCTGATTATCTAGTAATATTTCAAAATTCCCCATATCGGCAAAGGACACATAATTCTGACGGATCCGTCAATGCCAGGTAGACAGAACCATATTTTGTTTTGTTTTTTGTACGCTGCAGATTCATTTTACACTTGCTAAAAGCTCTTTTATTTATAAAAATCCATTTGCATACAAAAACAAAACGCTACAAACAATTTTTACTAGTTTTATACCCGATTATTGCAAACGTTGCAGACTAACATGAAAATATCACTTGCTGATCAGCTGTTCACCTCAGTAATGTAAAAGAGTGATGGATACTCATGAAATAGGGTATTCTTTATTCCTTTATTGCTTTAAACGAATAGAAAATTGTGAAAAATGACTAATCTGCGACTGTGGCAGCAGCGATTTGCGTTGTAACTGCCCACCTCATGAGAAACGAAGTAAACGAAACCGTAAAAGAATTTGATGCCGAAAATGGATCAGGGAGAGGGACCAGAGCATGGGTGTGCTCCATATGCTGAATAAAGAACTTCTAGTGGAGGATCCATTGGCTTATAAGTCTAGTTGGTTTTGAAATAATTCTGATTTAAGTAGTAGATCATGACATCTTTTAAGTTTTCAATCTGTAAGAGCTGCTTTCAAATGGTTTTTTGTTTGAGAGTGATATGCTCCCGAACAGTTCTAGACACAATGCATGGAAATACCATATGCAGTGGAACGGTGTTGGTGCTGAGCTCTACTGAGTTACTCCGAGTTGCTCTGAGTAACTCAACTGGGTCACTGGAAAGCAGCTAAATAGAACAGCATAAGCAAGCGGATTTCGCAAAACTGGTCAACACACCTGATAACATCAACTAATAAAAGTGTTAGGCGTGTTTTGTCAACCAATAATCATCTAATCTAATCATCACAAAACATCAAGGATTTAACACAAAACATGTAATTCCGAAGCGCTTCTATCAGACACTGTATCTACTGCTCCAAATGTGTAGTAGTCTTCTGCGCACTTTTAGTATGATATTATTTAGAACAGGTTCTCAAAACTTTAGCACTACATTTATTCATACAAAATTATGAACTAAATACTGTCTGACACTATCCTTAATTTTGTACGAAATTTAGCGCACTAAATTTAGCACAAAATTTCGTATCGTGACAGACGGCCTTTATAAATGGTTGCTACATCATCGGACAGTGTCTTGGAACACAACTCATTTGGGCCTTCAGGGACAGAATAATCCCAAGGTAATATTGCTCAATGATAACATCTAGACTGCAAAATCTGTAAAAATGTGTTTGACATCGATAAAATGGATGGTTTTTAAGAAAGAACCCTCTTGTTTCAGTTTATTTCTATTATTTATGGCACCGGATCCAGTATACTGATTACGTCATATATAATAAGCCACCAAAAAAAAAACAACAAAATATAACCTTTCAGACTACTTGTTTGGGAAGTAGCTGCAGTGTAAATCGATAGGACCAGAGCAGAAACAAGACTATTTGTCTCAAAAATGACTCATTTAATCATAATCAAACAAGACATTTTTTAGCCATTAGGCTTTCCAAAAGGATATACAGGGTGTAAAAAATGTCAGTGACGCTTAAGTTTAGTCCGTTCCTGTTATTCTAAATGATATAGTTGCTTTCCACGGATACCATCAAGTTAGGCTGGTTATTTAGCTGTCAAAATTTCATTGAGTTGTATAGTGCCATTCAAAAGTCATTTGAGAAAAACCGACTTCCAATAGCATCCTCAGGGGCCTGTATCTATATAGGACTACCCGTAGGACATTATTTATAGAAATTTGAATTATCTTCTTGTACACGAGAAATTGACATATTATTTGGGACACCCTGTGTAGTATCATATAATCAGACGGTAAGGTCGAATGTTTTGCGAATTAGGTCATTCCAATGATTCCATTTATAGAAGGTGCTCCGTTATAAATTTTCCATCAAAGCAATAAATAATATTTTTATTGAACCAAATAAACTTCATTGAAATGCCGCTCGTTAACGAAGTACAGCTTTTTCTATGGCTCAAGCTGTGTTCGACATATAAACATGAAATTGGGATAATCTGGCATTCTCATGAAATATCGAGATTATAGGCTAAATATAGTACGTTCTAGATACTGTATAATAAAGTATAATCATGTCATTGCCACAAAAATATCTTGAGCTATAGAGAAATAATGACTTCGAGAAATAAAAGTCGGCACCTATCTCATAACGAGTGACATTTTACTAAAGTCATTTACTTGGTTCAATATAATTTATTATTATTGCAAGCTTTATCCGTTAATGCTTTTTGCACATATTAGTGCGGACCACTATCTATGGCAGTACAAGTTAAGCAGTCATAGCACTGACGACGGTAACTCTCACAAATTACCCAGCAAAGCTTGGGTAGCGCCTAAAGAAGCGTCCGGCACAACTTAACTAACTTCAGTATTCGGAAATCTCGAGTCTTGTTGGGGCACCAATATCGCATATTTTATTTATTAACATATCCATCGATATGTAATGTACTTCGTCACTGGATAACATGTTTCCAAGCATGTGTGCTGTCCGGCATTGTTCTTGCGAAGTTTTCTCACAAAGGATAGTCACTTTCGTTGAGACCCCGAACAATTTGCAATTTCTATGGGTGGAGCTATAATTTCTTTTTCAAATAACATGCAATGTTCAATTTTATTGCTATTGAGCCCGCAATATTCCTTATTGATTTACTTGGATTCCAATAATTTTATCTCGAACTTGAGACATATGTTCTGTTGCTGACGTTGATGGTCCGGGGGAGTTCTGTTGACCACTGACCTTCTTGCCTGCACATTTTTACCCATGGCCAGATAAGTTACGTGGTCGGTCCATCAATTCAATGATTCACCTCACTTGAGATATTTCTCGACCTCAATGCGAATGCGGTCTTCCTCACCTATGGCTCATGGCGACTAACAATTCCGCGAATCCTGCGCTTCGAATGATACCTCTCCCACCTAAATGATACTTTGACTGGATATTGCAGTGTTTTGAACGATATTGGCAAGTCGATTTCGATATCATGAGTATTTGCGGGATATAAGCACGGTGTCCCACTGCTAACCCCGTGAAGATGGTCGCCACGATTATATTGTCCCGCATCCTTTTTATCAGTAGCTTTGTGCCATTTCACAGGTTGGGAGGGATCAAGTTTCTTAACAGCTCTCTGTTATAAGTAAGGTGATCGAGAGGTGCATAAATCGCGAGCTTCTGGACTACCTCGAACGTCAATTCTTGATTAGCGACAGACAGTATGGTTTCCGGCACCAGCGATCCATAGGGAACCTCCTAGCTTACGTCACGCTATTGTGTAGTAAACTCATCCAGTCTTATGTTGAGGCTCATGACGTTTCTCTTGATATCACCAAAGCGTTCGATCAGCTGTGGCACACTGCCCTCTTGTGCCTCCCAGAAAAGCATTGCAGATGGGTGGCGACTTTCTCTCTGGCCGCAAGATATCCGTCGTAATTGACTGGTTCTTCTCTTCCTCCAGAACGTCAATGCGGGTGTTCCCCAGGGATCGGTGTTATACATAACGACCTACTTTCGTGCACGATCCACCCCAATCCACAGCTTCGCTGTTGACAGTGCTCTACATGCAGTAATTCAGAGTGACAAGCCGATCTCTGCCGCTGAGCAGGAAAAAAGACGACTAGCAACGACTTCATCTCTAACAAGAGACCTGGAGGTTATCACTGCTTGTAGACGCAACAATCTTTTACAGTTTAATGTTTCCAAAAAAACAGTACTGTACTTTGACGAACAAAAAGCGTCCTAGCGCTCAACTGGTTTCGATGGATAACCGAGTTCTACCAAAGAGCCGTTCATTTCGGCTGGTCGAAGTTCAGATCACCGAGGACTTGATCTGGCACGAACACATCTCGTCACTAGCGACAGCTGCTGGAAAAAAGTTAGGCTATTGGCTTAGGGCTAAGAAGTACTTTTCTCCGCATTCTATACAAGGCTGAGATAAGGCCAACCTCGAGTATTGCTCACACATTTGAGGTGCTGCCGCCCCAGCTACATTATGTATGCTCGATGTTGTCCAGAGGAGCGATGTCCGATGACTCTGCTCTAACAGACGGTCTCGGAACACTTTCGCACCGGCGGCAGCGGGCCGTCAGCGATCTATCTCTCTTCTACCGCTACACCAACTGACTTTGCTCCTTCTGAGGAGGCGGCATCATGGAAGAGAGCTCTGGCTCTCTTCCATGATGCCGCCGCGCGATGTGTCCATCAGATAGACCGGCCTGACTTTGGCTTCCGATCCTAACCGTGTCGAACTTCGTACGTCCAGAACTGGCCGATACGACCGTTCCTTTGTCCCAAGGGTGTCGAGATTGTGAAACAATCTACAAAAGGGAGCTTCTGCCAGTTCTATTAACCTTAGGCAGTTCAAAAATTTGAATAACAAAATTTCTTTGGGATCCTCTTAGCAGCCGCGGGGACCCGGCATTTAGGCTTCTCCCTTCGCGGCTGCTTCGGTATAAAAAACAGCATGATAGGAATGTCGAATTTTAACATAAGGTTTTGAAGTGATCAAAAGGGCTCAAAGAATTTTAAAAGTCCTGAAGATGGTGCACTATATCTTCAATATTACACACCGTATCAACCGACTTATACTGTTTGACCAGGAATTTTCTGTAAAATCAGTTTATTTATTTCGTTTCTCGATGGAACTATTACTTAATTGAAATGAGAAAGCAATCGAGAACAATGCAGCAAATAGCGAAATATTTACAGATTCTGCCGTTTCGATGCTATATTAATTTATAGGTGAGTGACCGTGATTGCCCTTAGTAAATATTGTTATTTGACGTCAACATACGTAGCATATTATTAATCACAAGTAAATTTAGCCTGTGACACGTGCGAATAATGTAACTTCCCTCTGGTGAAAGAATTTTCAAACATTACTTCCTACAAACGACCTTACCAGCTTTACGTCTGTATAATATTTGACTGCTAGTCTGATCAAGTCACGAAATGCTAAACTGCTCTGCACCCAAACAAGAAGTCAAATGAGTTGTGCAATAACAAAAACCAACCATCACACTCCTTCAAAGTATTGAATATAATACACCAAATATCTCAATCGATTGACTAGTCCCAAAACGACAATATAAACATAGATACTTAAACATGCAGTGCAGTTATGTTGCAGTATATTTTGTGGTTTTAGTTTATCCCCTTTTTTAAGCCTGCACTGTTCATGTTTCGTTACGTGCAACAGAGCTTGTATTAAGCATGCGCTATGAGTATGGAGCTTTGCAAACTATCAGAAGGCTAAATCTTACAGCTCCATCACTATTCTTAGCAAAAGTATGATAGCTCTATGACACAATTCTGTAATCACAGTAATATATATGTCTTATTCAAACAAATAATTGAGCAAAAAACACACTATGCATAAAGTACAACATTAAACAAAATTTAATTTCAAATGACGGCTGCGAAGCGAAGAGGATAAGAAATAATTTGATTTTTCAGTTTTAATTGTACTATGATATAACTGCATTTTATCTGTGTAGTTGCTGGAACAAACATTTACTACAAAGTATCAGGTATACTCGTATTTATTCATAGGTGATCAAAGACGTATTACCCTAGAAAGGCCATAGATTTGATTTTAACTCGTGTGTAACCTGAAATTTTAACATAGTTTTAGGTATGGGTAGGTAGTATGGTATAAATATAAACTGTAATTCTGTTTCTATCTTTTTCGGAAGTTGCAGAGGAACTCTGGTATTTTCTTTGTTACTCGTACATATAACCCTTGCCAAATTGAACATACAATGACAATATTTGCCAAACTGTCGCAAAATAGTTTTTAGATTTTATCGAACTGTTACGGTTGGCATTGAACTTGGCTCTGGATAATGTATCCGTAAATACTTGCTGGGACAAACAAAATTATACAGCCAGATGACGTAAATAGTGTTCCGGTGTGCAAGGAGTTGAATAATCAAACCCAGCTATAGTGTGCCTTTGATAAGTAATGACTGACCTCTTTGACCCCCCAACCACTGTGTTCGGTGCTCAGATTGTGTTAGGGAATCTAAGCTAATAATAAAGTTGTCGTCAGTCGCAATGAAGTAGTACATTACATATACCTTGGTGCAGACGTATGCCACTATTGGCATATCGCTTTTATATCCTAAGATGCTTCGTGCCGAGGGATATAATGTTCAAGAACAATAATTTCGTTTTCTACCGAGGTATGAACCTAATTTTTGTCACTACTATAATATATTATCACATTTAATTTGATTGGAATGTGAAATATAGCAGATCTGCGAATTTCCTAAATGTCCAGCAACACTGTACGGAATAAATCAATCCGACTTTCAACCTGTCAAAATAATGGAATAAGTAAATTCTATCAGCAACTGTAATTGCAGTTACAAAAATGGAATCTGTATCTGTTTATTGTAAACAATAATTATCAGTAACATTTATATCCCTAACAAGCCAAAAAGATCTAAATAATGCATACGTTCATTATTTACCTAGGGTTCTCAGGATTATTATTTACCTCGGGGGAGAAATGTACCACTCTTTATAGCAATACGGTAAATGATGGGCGGTTTCTCAGGGTAGTAGTGATTAAAAGTCGTTTGCCAACTCGTGACACTTGCAAATACACCGAAGATGGACCGCTCTTTAAGCAGAGAAAACCAATCAAATTTTGTTTTTGGTCGAGCAAAAAGTGACGCCCTATCAAGAAGTCATGTGTTACGGTGGTCAAAAATATACATGACACTGTTCCGGACCTGAAAACATATATCCCACGGCATCAGACAGTACTATAAACCTAAAAATAGGTACTGGGGTCGTCGTGATATCTGTATTTAAACATTAAAAAATTGTTCACGAAATTTGTCTCTCGATTCAGAAAGAGATAAATAAGTGAATTGGCACGTCGGTAAAAAGGTGGTGTGGTGCTTTGTTGAGCAAATATATGTTTGAAACAGATGAATGTCATCAAAAACGTGTTACCCAGAGATGGCATACCGATGGGTAAGGGGGGAACCTGGGGGTTGGGTATAGTCCGTTTAAGGTAAAGTTGGCTTATTATTGTTGGTAAACATTGAAAAAATAATTCTCTGATTTCTTTACCTAAAAATAATTTAGGACAAAAATCACCCTCCATTCGATCTCGAGCTGGAAAACAACTTTTATACAAAGCTCCACCCTCGCTACGACAGACCTTTAATGCGACTGCTGCCTAGTTCTATTGTTAGCTTAGATCTCATAACATAATTCTAAAAAGCAACGGCTGGGTTGCAAGCGACTGAAGCGCCACACAACGACCAGGCTAGTTACTCATTAAACGTACCCTGTACTATCTGAACTTCCCAATATGGATTGATGTTTATAGAATGGTTAATGTAAATGACAAACTGACAAACCAACTGAGCGTTACAAATATCAGTTATGTTCTGTTTTGAAACAAATTAAAATACCCAAAACTTTATTTGCCTTAGCACCCATTTATGTACGCTACTCGAATCGATAGATAGTTTCCCTCTTTGATTCTATTGTCGAACATTGTTGGGTGACAATGTTCCACGAATCAAGTCGTGTGCATTAATGAGTGCTTAGAAGTCTCAGATAGTTCGAACTTTCGTAGCATTTTTTAAGTTTATGCGAGTTGTGCTAGGAAATAAAATTTAACAAACCTTTTATACTGACTTTTTTCAGCTTGCCAGTTAAATAGCACTCTGGTCATTCTAGTTAGCCAATATGAAAATACAGAGAAGTGTAAAGGAACATAGTGTCTTTTGAACAAAATTTGGTTTATAACATCATGCGGATGCATTACCTGTTGCCGTGTAGATTTTATTGTGATCTTTACTTCTAATTTAAAATGTCTTTTACAATTTACGATACTGTTTTAGCTTTATATAGGCATTCTTGTATTTAGACCTGAGTTATACCCGTTTATTGTTATGTATTTTTAGAAGATATCCATTAATTTTGGGATATTTGACATTTACTTCATTAATATGTAAATATACACAAGACAATAGATATCAGTATTATTACTTATAACTTTTGTCAAATGAATGTGTAATTTCATGTAGGAATATATTAAATAATGTTCAAGTGTTATGTGCCTACTGCAAAAAGAAGCTAAGATAGAGCTGAGCCCTATCAAGTGGGCATATAGATTGTGTTATCTTCATAATATATATTTTTTTTGGCCTGGTTGCAATTACTTGAATCGATAAAAGGTTTTTTTTGCAGTATTATAACTTTAATGCAAAATTTAAGTACATCATTAGTAAAATAATTTGATATATTAAAATTTTTATAAAAATGTTTTTCTACATATACTTTCGGAACTTGAGTTTTAATCAGTTTGCAAGTAATGAGAGTACCTACTCATTGTTTTCATTTAAAATATCTTGCCAAATTGTGTACGAGTTTCTTCATCAATTTCACACCCCAAATGAGCTTTAAGTTTAGGTATGATAATTTATTTTTATACTTCATTATATAATTGAATGCCCCTGAGATAATGTCATACATGTTTAAACAATTGCCATATCTAAGTAAATGTATTTAGTGATTTAAGTTTTATGTTCAAATAGGAATCCAATTGTATACATTTTGTATATAAAAACAAAATAAATATCTTTACCTATTTACGATTTTCCTTAGAGCATTAATAATGAATACATTTAGCTTCCGATGTATAAAAATACATCTTTTAACAGTACATCCAACGTTCGTAAGAATAAAACTTGATAATATCTATTACTACATATACGAATGGACAAAATAGTTGATAAAAAAATTGTAAATAATTGATTTGTAGATCTTAATTTATGTAATAGATATAAAAAAATCTCCATCGTCAATTCTTGATGGTCAATAAAGAAAAATGAGAGACAGTAACAAATCATGAGATCAGACCAAGTCCTGCAGTAATTCATAGGCGTAAAATTTCTTTATTGAAAATATGGTATTATTTTACATCATATTTTTGTATTTTTTTTTTGTTTATGCTAACTTACTACATAATATCAAATACAATTATATCTGCTATAGTTTTTACAAAATATGTAGTTAACTTCACAAATACCTAGGATTAGTAACAATGAAATTGTGAATACCCTGTGAATACTTGCCCTCAGTCACCTACCTGATTATGGTTTTGAAGCATGGGTAGCATTTCATTTATATGGGTATTTACCAGGTACCTACCCTAATGATTTATGTAGGTACTAAATACCTGTAATTTTATTTGGATTAGGTATAGGTGCATCTTATACAGTTGGAATATCCTAAGATTATGCCCCCTACCTCATAACTTTATACCCTCTCTCTTGCGTTTATTGTACCCTATAAGAATATAGGAAATTGTTGCGACAGTCTAACCGGAGATGTATGGACATCTGTTAACGCCCTCTTAATGTGGTCCAGTTCTAAGCCTGGCGTATATTTATAACGTAGAAAGCTTAAAAATGTATGTGGTCTTCAATGTCCAGAAATTCTGTTGCTGTTGAGGCTGATAAGGGACTTCCCACTCCCTCTAAACCCTAGGAAGAAGGTATTTTAGTATTTAAATACGCAAGTTTTAGTTGGGATTGTTGACTTTTGTTCGATTCATTATAACCATAGCATTTTGTATTTGATTGTGGGGAAATGTTTAAATATATCTCTCTATTACAGGCAAAGTGTATGGCATTAAGAAATACTTATAATCTGCAAGCTACTTACCAAGGGAGAGATTTAGCAAGGGGGGATTATTCAAATCTATTTGATCCTTTAGCAAATGGCGTGTATTTTTGAGCATATTAATTCCTAAGGATTCCAGGTTTTACACTTTTAATTTGTGTATGTAGGATTTCAAATTTGTCGTTAACCCTATGGTTTCATTCATTTAGATGTATTAGTTTGTTTCACAGGTATATAGACAACCTCACAATTTCTTAAACCAAATTAGTACTCTTGTTCAACTTTAAATTATTATTAGTTTTAATCGAGTGAACTAAACAATGTCCGCGAAAGGGTTGGTATGAAAGGAAAGACAATTGGGAGTCAAGGACAGGAAATTATTAACAAGTCACTAACTTCATGATACAGGAAAGTGTA